TTGCAAAGTTCACTCTTGTTGAAGATGCCAAGCTCCAGCTTTCTATCCTGTCTCTTCAGCTGTCTGAGCAGAGGCTAAAAGTTCGTGCTTTACTCTGTCTGCTGCTGGGCAGCTGAGACGACCACTGTAGAGGTTGGTTTCAAATGGACTTTTAGGTGGGAAAGCAAGGAGAGACGGCAATGCGGTTGGCACTGTTGCAAAGCTCACTGTGTGCTGAAGATGCCAAGCACCAGCTTTCTTGTCTGGTTCGTCGACTGGTGGAGAAGAGGCCAAACATTCCTGCACTACACAGTCAGGTTCTGGTCTGCCGAGAGTGACCATCAGCAAGGTCGGATTCAAATGGACTTTCAGGTGGGAAAGCGAGGACCAAAGGCAATGCGAGTGGCACTGTTGCAAAGCTCAGTGAGTGCTGAAGATGCCAGGCACCATTTTCTCATCCTGGTTCTTTGGCTGTGGAAGCAGAGGCCAAACGTTCGTGCTCTTCTCAGTCTGCTGCTGGGCATCCGAGAGTGAGCACCAGAGAGGTTTTATTCAAATGGACTTTTAGCTGGGCAAGAGAAGAGTGACAGCAATGTGGGTAGCACCGTTGGAAAGCTTCACTATTTCCTGAAGATGCCAAGCACGGGTTCTCTAACCTGGTTCTTTGGCTATGGGAGCAGAGGCCAAACGTTTGTGCTCTACACACTCTGCTGCTGAGCAGGCAAGAGCAACTACCGGAGATGTTGCATCTAAATGGACTTTTAGCTGGGAAAGCGAGGAGCGACAGCAATGCGGGTGACACTGTTGCAAAGCTCACTGTGTGTTGAATATGCCAAGTGCCAGCGTTCTGGCCTGGGTCTTCAGCTGTGGGATAAGAGGCCAAACATTCATGCTTTACTTACTCTGCGGCTGCTCAGCCGAGAGCGAGCACCGGAGAGGTTGGCTTCAAATGGATTTCTAGGCGTGAAAGCTAGGTGCCGCAGCAATGAGGGTGGCACCGTTGCAAAGCTCACTGTTGAGCTGAAGAGGCCCAGCAACAGCTTTCACGCCTGGCTATTCGGCTGAGCGAAGAGAGGCCAAAAGTTTGTGCTCTACTCTGCTTCTGGGAAGCCAAGAACGATCACCGAAGAGGCTTGATTCAAATAGACTTTAGTTGGAAAAAATGGGAGCGAAATCAATTCTTGTTTCACTGCTGCAAAGCTCGCTGTGTGTGGATCATGCTGAGCACCAGCTTTTTATGCTGCTTCTTTGGCTGTGGGAGCAGAGGCCCCACGTTCATGCTCTACCTACTCTGCTGCTGGATAGCATAGGGCAACCACTGGAGAGGATGGATTCAAATGGACTTTTAGGTGGGAAAGCGAGGAGCGACAGCAATGCGGGTAGCACTGTTTCAAAACTCATTGTAGCTGAAGGGGCCCAGCATCAGCTTTCCATCCCGGCTCTTTGGGTGCTGCTGGCTCAGCAGAGAGCAACCACCAGAGAGACTGGATTCAAATGGACTTTTAGGTGGGAAAGCGAGGAGCGACAGCAATGCGGGTGACACCCTTCAAAGCGCAACGTGAGCTGAATTGGCCCAGCACCAGCTTTCTTTCCTGGCTCTTCGAGTGTGGGAGCAGAGGACAAACTTTCGTAATCTACTATCTCTGCTGCTTCTCAGCCTAGAGCATCCACCAGAATGGTTGGATTCCAATGGACTTTTAGCTGGGAAAGCGGGGAGCGACAGCAATGCAGGTGACACTGTTGCAAAGCTCACTGTGTGTTGAAGGTGCCAAGCACCAGCTTTCTGGACTGGTTCTTCAGCTGTGGGGGAAGAGGCCAAACATTCATGCTCTACTAACTCTTCTGCTTCTCAGCTGAGAACGACCACCGGAGACATTGGATTCACATGGAATTTTAGGTGGGAAAGCAAGGAGCGATTGCAGTGTGGGTGGCACCGTTGCACAGATCACTGTGAGCTGAAGAGGTTCAGCAAAAGCATTCCCTCTCTGGTTCTTCAGGTGTGGGAGCAGAAGGCAAACATTCATGCTCCACTAACTCCTATGCTGCTCATCCAAGAGTGACCACTGGAGATGCTGGATTCAAATGTCCTTTTATCTTGGAAAGCAAGGAGCAACAGCAATGCAGCTGATACCGTAGCAAAGATCACTGTGTGCTGAAGATACCAAGCACCAGCTTTCCCTCCTGGCTCTTTGGCTATGAGACCAGAGGCCAAATATTCATGCTTTACTAACTCTGCTGCTGGGCAGCCAAGAGACGGATCTGGAGAGTTTGGATTCAAGTGGAGTTTTAGTTGGAAAAGTGAGGAGCATGCAATGCGGGTGGCAGTTTGCAAAGCTCACTGTGGGCTGAAAAAGAACAGCACCAGCTTTCCCTCCTGGTTGTTCTGCTTTGGGAACAGAGTCCAAACATTCATGCTCTACTAACTTGGGTGCTGCTTAGCCGAAAGCGGGCACCGGAGAGGTTGGGTTCAAATGGACTTTTAGGTGGGAAAGCAAGGAGTGACAGCAATGTGGGTGGCACCATTGCAAAGCTCACTGTGTGTTTAAGACACCAAGCACCAGCTTTCTTTTCCGGCTCTTTTGCTGTGGGAACAGAGGCCAAATATTCATGCTCTACTCAGTCTGCTGTTGGGCAGGTGAGAGCAGGCTCCAGAGCGGTTGGATTCTAATGGACTTTTAGGTGTGAAAGCAAGGAGCGACAGGAATGTGGGGGGCACCGTTGTAAAGCTCATTCCACTTTGAAGGCTCCCCTTCTGTGGGAGCAGAGGCCAAGCATTCGTACTCTCTTCACTCTGCTGCTGAGCAGCTGAAAGTGACCACAGGAGAGCTTGGAATCTAATGGACTTTTAGGTGGAAAAGGGAGGAACGAGAGCTATGCAGGTGGCACCGCTGCAAAGGTCACTGTGTGTTGCATATGCCCAGCATCAGCTTTCTGGCCTGGTTCTTCTTCTGTGGGAGTAGAGGCCAAGCATTCATGCTCTACTAAATCTGGTGCTGCTTAGCCGAGAGCTGGAACCGGAGAAGTTGGATTCAAATGGACATTTAGGTGTCAAAGCGAGGAGCGACAGCAATGTGGGTGGAACCATTGCAAAGCTCACTGTGAGCTGAAGACTCCCAGCACCATCTTACCGTCCTGGCTCTTCTACTGTGGGAGCAGAGGCCAAACGTTCATGCTCTACTCACTCAGCTACAGGGCAGCAGAGAGCAACCACCGAAGAGGTAGGATTGAAATGGAATTTTAGGTGGGAAAGCGAAGAGTGACAGCGAAGCAGGTGGCATCGTTGCAAAGCTCACTGCGTGTTGAAGATGTCAGGCACCAGCTTTCTTATGAGGTTCTTTGGCTGTGGGGGCGGATGCCAAACGTTCATGTTCTACTCACACTGCTGCTGGGCAGCCGAGAGTCACCACCGGAGATGTTGGATTCAAAAGGACTTTTAGTTGGGAAAGTGAGGATCAACAGCAATGAAGGTGGAACCATTGTAAAGCTCACTGTGTGCTGAAGTTGCCCAGCACCAGCTTTCTTACCAGGTTCTTCAGCTGTGGGAGCAGAGGGCAAACATTAGGGCTCTACACACTTTGCTACTGGACAGGCGAGAGCTAACACCGAAGGAGTTTGGGCTCAAATGGACTTTTAGGTGGGAAAAGGAGGAGCAAAACCTATGCGGGTGGCACTGTTGCAAAGCTCACTTTGCGTTGAAGATGCCAGCACCAGGTTTCTATAATGGTTCTTTGGCTGTGGGAGCAGAGGCCAAACTTTTGTGCTCTGCTCACTCTGCTGTGTGGAAGCCAAGAGCAAGCACCAGAGAAGTTGGATTTAAATGGACTTTAAGGCGGGAAAGCCAGGATAGACATCACTGCTGGTGGCACCATTGCAAAACTCACTGTGTGCTGAAGATGCCCAGCACAAGCTTTCTTAACTGGTTCTTCAGGTCTGGAGCAGAGGCCAAATATTCATGCTCTAATTAGCTGCAGAGCAGCCGAGAGCTAACACTGAAGCAGTTTGGATTCAAATGGACTTTTAGCTGGGAAAGCGAGGAGCGACAGCAATGCGGGTGACACCGTTGCAAAGCTCACTGTGTGTTGAATATGCCAAGTGCCAGCTTTCTGGCCTGGGTCTTCAGCTGTGGGATAAGAGGCCAAACTGAAGCATGCGCAGTAAATGCTCATACCAGTTTAATTGGTTCGTTAACACCAGAGACATAATAATCCTCCTATCCTCCTACTTATCGGTTAGTTTAACCATAGCCCATCCTGGACACCTGTGGTTCCCAGATACTCCTTATCCCTGTGTCCTGTTCTTCTAGACTGTTTTTCTTAAACAATGTCAACTATAACGATTTATCTTGTGAGAATTCTCAGTACGTTCTCTAGCTGTACTCTATTTTTTTCTCTATGTATCTTGCACCTCGGTAATTTTCCATTGCTACTGTTACAAAGCCATCAAAATTCACATTACTTAAATCTAATTCTAAAGGTTTCTATATACCATTTTGTGATTTTGTGCCCCTTGTTTCAAATTCCCCCTTTTTCTGTCCTTTTGCAAATTCTTTTGCAACATTTTATATATTACCGTTACCATCAAAATCCTTTCTTAAATAATTTTCTACTTGGTGCTTAATTTCATTCCTTTTCCGATCATAGACAGTTTACAATACCAGAGGGAACATTGTATCATACCACAAGTAATCAATATTAAATTAATTAACATCAATATTCCTGCAACTAGTTGCCTCAACCAGGAGAGATTGGGTAACCATGAAGTTAACTTTTTCCATACTTCTTCAAAACACCATATCATGAAATAACTTAGTTTGTTTCCAAATTTCCTCCAGATCTGTTTTGATTCTGCCACTTTGGTCTATATAGGAACAAGAGCTTTCATCGATTATGGAACAAACCCCTCCTTGTGATGCCAATAACATGTCTAGAGAAATTCGGTTTTGTAAAACTACTTTAGAGAGGCTGGTTAAAATTGGGTATTACAGCACCTAAGGTGCATGCCCCTTTCCGGTTGGTGGTTAGAGTCTTATAAGCATTTTCTCCACATAACAAATACCATCCTTTCCCTTTAGGAACGGGCCACAACTGAACTATGATACCATCTATATTAATAGTATGATTGCAATTTGAATGGTGACCTACATCTGTGGCATTTAAGCAAGATTTCCTACCCTGGTTCCTGATGTAATACATCTTTGTGCACAAGTGTAATATTTATTACCTGGATTAGGATTAACTATTCCAAATTTTAACCTTTCCTTCAAATACAGATTGCTAGTGTTCACCCACAAATTTGTCCATGAGATAGTGTTAGGAATTGGAACTCCAATGAATGGGAGATCCAGGCTTTCTCCTGATTTAGGCAACTGTGCGCACACCCAACAATCACTACGACTAAAAACATTAGTAACATTCTGCACTAATTTCAGGTATAAGTTCTGGTCCCAAGTTTGTGTGCCAGTTATCATATGAGTCCAAATTATGACAGACGCAATTTCATACATAAGGGTCCTGAAGGTTCGATCTGCCATGTCTTCTCTGGCTCTGGTGCTTTCTTAATTCTTTAATAATATGTCCAAGCAGGTTGTTCCTTTATCTTCACTGCTGTAAAGGTGGTCAGTAATATCTGGTACGGTCCACTCTACTTCTCCTGTAGAGGATCTCCTGAAAAATTCTGAACATAAACCCAGTCTCCAGATCTGAAAGGGCGAATCAGATAATCCAAACCTCTTTCTCTTGTCCCTACTATTCTCTTATTTATCTCCTCCAATTGTTTTCCCAGATGGATCAGAAACTGTCGGAGATAGCCTTCTTCCACTTCCTGAAGACTTTCTCCTCTAAACTGGGACTGATATGGTCTTCCATACAAAATCTGAAACGGACTGAGCTCTTCTTCTGACCAAGGTTTAGTTCGAATTCTTAAAAGAATCAGTGGTAATGCCTGGTACCAATAGAAATTTGTTTCCTGACATATTTTACTAATCTGTTTTTTAATCAGATGGTTCACCTTTCGTACTTGCCCCCTGGCCTGAGGCCTATATGGAACATGTAGTTGCCAATCAAATTCTAATTTTTTGCTAATTTCTTGTAACAATTTTTCACTAAAGTGTGAACCGTGGTCGGAAGAAATTGCGGCTGGTACTCCAAAATGAGGTATTCTTTCATTTAATAATGTTTTAATCACCTGTCTTGCATTATTTGTCCTACAAGGGAATGCTTCTGGCCAGCCTGAAAAATTAACCATTAACACCAACAAATATGGATAACCCCCTTTTCTTGGTAATTCAGAAAAATCTGTTTGCCACTCCTGTCCCGGAAAACTTCCTCTCCCAAGTTGATTTCTATTTTCAGTTTTAGGATTATCCTTAAGACATAACTGACATTGTTTTGTCACTAATTGAACTGCGGTGTATAGATTCCTTGCTACAATTTGTTTGTCTAAATATTTATACAAAGAATTGCTGCCCCAATGAGTTTTATTATGTTCATCCTGATCTAACCTCCAGAGTTGGTTATAGGGGATTACAATTCACCCATCAGGTATTTGAGCCAAATCTCTTTATTTTCCTGTCCCTTTAGATCCTCAATCAATTTTCTATCCTCTTTTGAATACCTAGGTTTAGATTTTTCAATTGTTAGTTTGCCATCAGGGATTAAGGACCTGATTTGAGATTGTTCAGGTTTGGCTTCAAAAATCAACCAAATTATTTCCAATTTCCTGATCAGAGTCACCTTGTTGATGTCCTTTACAGTACATAATAGCTACTTCTTCAGGTAGCTGAACAGCTTCCAGTAATCGTAGAATTTCTATAGCACGTTTAATCTGTTTCCCTTGTGTGTTCAAAAGTCCTCATTCTTTCCAGATAGCACCATGTTCATGTACCACACTAAATGCATATTTAGAATCAGTCCAACTATTTATCCTTTTATCTTTAGCCAATTCTAGGGCTCTTATTAATGCTATTGTTTCTGCCTTCTGGGCAGAGGTGTTTGCAGGTAAAGGTTTAGCTTCTATTACCTGTGAAGTGATGGTAATGGCATATCCTGCCTTTCATTTACCATTTTTCATGAAGCTACTACCATCAGTAAACCAAGAATCAGCATCTTCCAAAGGGTTTTCTTTCAAGTCTGGTCAGCTCGAATATACAGTCTCTATGGTAGTCAAGTAGTCTTGTGTTAGTGGTTCTGTTGATTGTTCCTGCAAAAAGGATGCTGGATTCACAACGTTAGTGATCACAATTTCTATATCACCCTGTTTTACAATGGTGGCCTGGTATTTTAAAAAACATGAAGGAGATAACCAGTGGGCTCGTTTCTGTTCCAGGACTGCTGAGACCACATGGGACACTAGCACAGTAACCTTTTATTCCAAGATGAATTTGTGAGCCTGTTCAATATTCGTGACGACTGCTGCCACAGCCCTTAGGCATCTGGGCCATCCTTTACTTGCTTCATCCAGCTGTTTTGAAAAATACGCCGCTGCCCTTCTGTATGGTCCTAGTTTCTGAGCAAGGACCCCCAAGGCTATTCCTTGTTTTTCATGGCAATATAGCCAAAACGGTTTAGCCACATCCGGAAGTCCCAGAGCTGGAGATCTCATAAACTCTATCTTTAAATTTCTAAAAGCCTCCTCTGCTTTATAAGTCCAGTCCAAAGAGGGAGGGTTTCCCTTCAACAGTTCGTATAGTGGTCTTACCAGAACACCATAATCATGGATCCAAAGTCTGCACCATCCTCTCATTCCCAGGAATGTCCGGAGCTCCTTGACGGTAGATGATCGTGGAGTCTGGCAAATGGCTTCTTTTCTGGCAGTTCCAAGTTCTCTCTGTCCTCCTGTTATTTCATATCCTAGGTAGAAAACTCAGGTTTGGATTAGTTGGGCCTTTTGTCTGGATACCTGATAACCATTCAGTCCCAGAACTTCAATAATCCCACCTTTCACTGGAAACAGTCTTCCTTTGTTTCTGCAGCATTTAACAGGTCATCCACATATTGTAACAGAGTCCCCGTCTGAGCAGGTGGCTTTCATAATTCTAATTCTCGTGCTAACTGATTTCCAAAAATTGCTGGACTGTTTTTAAACAGCCTAGCCAGGGTTAGATCAGATTAGCCTAATTTAGCCGGTGAGAGGCCAAACATTCGTGCTCTACTCCCTCTGCTGTTGGGCAGCCAAGAGCTACCACCAAAGAAGTTGGATTCAAATGGACTTTCAGGTGGGAAAGTGAGGAGCGACACCTACGTGGGTGGCACCGTAGCAAAGCTCACTGTGTGCTGAAGATGCCTAGCACCAGGTTTCTGGCCTGCTTCTTTGGCTGTGGGTCTAGAAGGTTAGGCTTACGAGTTAGGGTTAGGCTGGAGTTGGCTTAGGGTAAGGTTTAAATTTAGGGTTACGAATTACAGTTAGCGGGTAGGGTTAGGGTTTAAAATTAGGCTTACAGTTAAGGATTATGGTTACCGTTAGGGGTTATAGCTAAGGGTTTAGGGTTAGTGTTAGGGTTAGGGTTTAGGGTAAGTGTTAGGGTAAGATTTATGATGTGTTAGGCTTAGTTTTAGGGTTAGGTGTTAAGGTAAGTATTAGGGGTTATGCTTAGGTGTATGGTTAGGGTTGGTTATATTTAGTGTAAGGGTAGGTGTTTAGGGTTAAGTTAGCACCCATTAGCTTTAGGGGTTAGGGTTAGGGTTAGGGTTAGGGTTAGGGTTAGGCCTGGTTTAGCCTAGCCTGCCTTAGATTAGCCTAGCCTACCCTAGCTCTGCCTGGGTTAGACTAGGTTAGACTATCTTAGCCTAGCCCACCCGAGTCAGGGTTGTGGTAGATTACATTAGCCTGGCTTAGCCAAACATTCATGCTCTACTCACTCTGCTGTTGGGCAGCCGAGAGCTACCACCAAAGACATTGATATCAAATGGACTTTTAGGTGGGAACGTGAGGAGCGACACCAATCTCGGCGGCACCGTAGCAAAGCTCACTCTGTGCTGAAGATGCCCAGCACAAGCTTTCTAGCCTGGTTCTTTGGCTATGGGAGTTCAGGGTTAGGGTTACGGGTGAGCATGGATTAAGGTTAGGCTAAGGGTTAGGGTTAGACTCTAGGGGTTAGGGTTAGGGTTTAGGGTAAGGGTTAGTGGTAGGGCAAGTGTTAAGATGTGTTAGGCTTAGGTTTAGGGTTAGGTGTTAGGGTAAGT